AATATATTCTGATTTTAATCATTAAATTTTTTATATTTTGTGATTTTAATAAATCTTTAGCTTATTATAATTAGGTTTTACTTAGTTTAAAATAATTGTCTTAACCTCAATAAACTTATATTTGTTAGTTTCTTTTTGTCTTGGTTTAGTATTAGTCACTCAAAATAATATTTTTATTAATTTAATGAATTTACCATCTTAGTTTATATATTTCTATCTGTTTACCCAGTTTTTTTCTACTTTTAAAATAGAAAATCTGTTTAATCTGCATTCTTTGAGTTTTTCTTTTTTTCTTTATATTCTTAAAAGCTCAAGTGAGGTGATTAAATGCAATTTAATTTTAATTAAATACAGATTATTTGTATTAAACATTTCTTTATTTATTTTTTATTTTTTAAAGGATTATTGAGTTGAAGAAAAGCTATTCCATTTTTTAAATCTATTATTATTAATCTATGAGGTTTTATTTGATGATAAATAATCATTATGCCATTTTTAAGATCCTTAATTTCTAGAAAAAAAAGTCCTTAATTTTTTTGATAAAAGTCCTTAAAAGTGCTTAATTTTTGCTTTGATAAAAGAGTGGGAACCCTGACAAATGATATTTCTACATTCAATAGACTTTGTACTTAAAGTATCAGAATTCAGTTTTTTATTAATTTTATTTATTTTTTATGCTTTTTAAGGCTCTGGTATCTCTTGTCTTGCTCACTTTGATGGATCTGGTCTGGAACAAGGTGTTATAAATATTGTCAGACATGCACAAGACCTTTCAATGAATGTATTAGAAGGAAGGTACAGCTTATTTACGTTTTGATACTTATTAGGAAATTTCACTGGTGTATGTTTCATGTCCTCTGAAAGCATTTAAAATGTTATATCTGTAATTATATTTTTAATAATTACAATTGATATTTTAAAATCATTTATTGAAGTTCTCAGACATTAGATGATGGAATTTCTCTTGTACATTCACCTTTAACGCATTTAATTCTTAACTTGAAAAATAGCCATTTTTAACCCTCTAATAATACTGAGAATATCAAACCATCTTTTACCTGCATGCTATCCTACATAAAAAAAAAATTCAATATTTCTCTTGCTATTACATTATACAGAAAAACTGATAAAGTTGAACATGTAATCTAATGTTTCTTAAAACAGATAATTATTTTAATTGGTTAGGATTTACTTGTACATCAATCCATCTAAAATTCTGTGTAAGCATTTAATATTAAGGATAGTAAAAATAAATTTCTAATTTAAATTTTTTTCTGTGCCTTAACAATCCTGACTTGTAGTCCTGTATGTATTCCACTAAATAATATTGACCTGATAATCAGTTACTAAATATTTGTATAAATTATTTACCTGATTTTAAATTTCCTCAGTTGTTAAGAGTCTTTATTACTGGAAAACTTAACTTTGTCAAATCTGCTTTAAAAATTTTATCAGCTATCAAACTATATATGTTGAACCTAAATAAGATGGAAACAGTTATTTGATCTTGGAAAACTGAAATATTCATTGATTTTAAATACTTACCTTTTCTGCATTGTGCAATTTAGCTATCAATTCCAATTTATAACAATACAATTATGACAAAAATTTGTGACATGGACCTCCTTAAATTTCTTTTGTAATTCTGTTGTAATCTAAAAACAAATTATGCGTATTGTGCTGCGAGGAAAACGATATGTGATAGTCGTGTCTGTAGCATAAAATTCTATGAAATTGTAAGACCTAAACTTAGGTTTCTCTATCCCTCTTTGTTAAAAGTTCTAATCAAAATGCTTATTTGTGTTTTTTTAGACTGGAACTTCATATGATTGGTGGTTTCTTAGATCTGAGGCATTACTCTGAAGAACTTGCTGTTCAATTATTATGTAAGTTTTATTTTAAATCTACCTAGAACAGATGCTTCTATATTTTTAAAAAAATACTAATTTTAATTATTATTATTATTAGATGCCTTTCACAAACAGCCAGTAAATATTCACCTTGTCACAGCTTGTATTTGTGGTAAGTTCCTTTCTTAAAAGTATGCTCCCTGTAGCAAAAAATGTTGTAATGTATGTACCAGCTCTGTAACAATTGTACCTAAGCAGTTTCTAGCTTGTTGAATATGAGAATAATAATGGGAAAAGTTTAAAAGTTTCAGTTTAACTTCAATATAGATATCTGAAGTTAGACTTCTCAAAAGATATCTTTAGCAGTTATTTTGAAATTATTTNTTTTTATTTTTTTTTTTTTTTTTTTTAATGTTACTATTAACTGGATTTTAGTTTAGATTTTTTATCACAATTAAAGTGACGGTTGCCTAACAACTTGCAATGTAAAAGGATATTGATTGAATATGGTAAAGTTAGATAAGGATTTAACGTTGAATATATTTTATTGGCTTTAAATCTGACTGTTGGTCTAAAATATCTAAAATCAGTTAAATCTTTGTATAAAAATTGTTACATCACCAATTTTTTGCCTTTCTATAAGTGAAACAATTCTTCAGTTGGTTTCATCCATCAACTGATTGCTTACAAATACTTAGGCGGGAGTTACGTGATAAAAAGTTATTTTAAATAGATGACTTGGAGATGTTCTAGGTTTTTTCCTTTAATTACAAGTTAAACCTAACCACAAATAAGGGGCTGAAACCAATGATAAAGTGATTTAAATCTGAAATAGTAGAAAAAATGCAACTGTTTATGTAATGTTTAATTTATAAATGTTATGTTATGTATTCGTTAAGGTTGTGTATTTGTTAATGTTTAGATTAATGTATAAATATTTAATTTTAAAATTTCTTTCTTTTCAGAACTTAATAATTCTTTACGTGGAAATATTAACTGGCCTGTGATTTATGGAATAGGTAAGACATGATTTTAAATATCAGTTACTATATATAGATAACACTTTCTATCATTTCTTATCTTGGTACATCTATTATCTTGTCACTCATACTTTTCATGTTTGACAGTTTTATTCTCTTTGTAAAATGTTTATCCACTTCAATGCCTTTTAATTATAAACAGTTCATATTCCCACCTTCTGTACTTAGCGGTTCATAACTTATTTTTTGTAATATAAATTATACTTGCATATCTATATTTACATTAATGTTTGTTTTTTTTTATAATTTTTTGTTTTTTTGTGCTTCTTTTTAGAATATAGCTGCATTTTGTCAAAATTAGCCCAATATTTATTGACTGTTATTAAATGACTATATTCTTTTTCTTTTTTGCTCTCACAATATAGCAATCTTACATTTTAATGCCCATTTCTGTTTGAACAACTGGGTTTCTTATAATGAGTGTTGATTGTATATTCTTTTAATCAATGTGTTGTAATATTTAAAAAAAATCTAATTTTTTTTGCTGTCTTTTGATTTATTTGCAATTTTATTAAATGGGAATTAAAATAGTGTTAAAAATTCCTATTTTACTCATTATAGCACTGCTGATCTTATTATCCTAAAACAAAATAGCTTAATCTCTTTTCCATAAATATTTTAAATGAGGATATGAACTGGCTTTTTTTCTTTAAAATGCATATAAAAGTATATTTTAAGCAAAACATATAACAAGTCTCAAAACTGTAGAGATATAAAATCTATGTTTTATATAGTATTTGTATTATAATTTATTTTAATACTATAGGTTTAAATACGAAAAGTGGTGAAATATTCCCTGCAACATTTCCTGATAAAGGTCCAGATTTAGCTCTTCGTTCTGCCAGATATTTTACAGGGTGTTATGATGTATGTGAAAAGTTTTTGCTGCATTTTGTTTTTATACCATTACTATGCATTTGTAAAATAGTGTTTATGCTCTAGATATATGACTGTAATAAGTTTTATTTTTAAAAAAAAGTGCATTCTAGGTTCTTTGATTTCACTAATTGTTACACTGTATATTTAAAAGTTTAGAATTTTATTTTGGATTTATTAAAATGTATTTTGTAAAAATAATTCATGTATTTTAGATGCTTGATATATATGACTGCCATTTGGGCATGTTGAGAATTGGACCTTACAATTATGAACCTTTAAGAGGTGTTGACTTGTGGCTTGCACAGAGTGATGATTTTATATTAAGGGTTTGTATAAAATTATTATAATATAAAATAAAAAAAATTTCTTTATCTCTCTTGCATTATATATAGTATATGCATTATAACCCCAAAATTTCAACTACCTCAAAAGGAGTGCATATTTTATAATCTACTTCCTTTTGTATAATCAATTTGAATTTTTCTAACCTGTTTCTAAACTAAATTCTAATTTAGATTAGCCAAACTAATAGTATGTTGGTTGTAATGATGTGATAAAAATAAATTTCATCAATGTTAAGCACAATTCTACTTGCTGAAAAAAAATTTTAAGAATCATTAGATTGAGGATTTGTAAAATTTTGATGAAATTCTCCTGAATGTGGAGAATAAGTGCTTCACTTTTTATTTTATTTTGGTAATTTCAGGTGATTGATATGCTATAACTCGATTTGTTTATCATTTTTGTAATTGGTATAACCAAACTTTCAGTTGATAATTTTCTTAAAGACTTGTCTGTTATTAGTAAACTGGCAAACAACGATATTGCCTGTAATATTGATTGTGTATATACTGCCGTGCAATTGAAAAATCACTATTAGCGACAAAAAAATACAAAATTAAGATTTTTATATATTTGTAATTGGTAAAACCATACTTTTAGATAATTTTCTTAGAGACTTGCCTGTTAGCAGTAAACTGGCACACAGCAACATTGGCTGTGATATTGATTGCGTGTATACTGCTGTACAATTAAAAAATCACTTTAAGCGACAAAAATTGAGATTTTTATGTATTTGGCATCTTTATAAGATTAGCTACATAATGCAAAAAAAAAATCAAAAAGCTTTAATTGTGTTTGTGCAAAATGGGTTATAATAAAGGAACAGTTTTAACTCATTAATAAAACCTTGTTCACAAACCATATGCTGTACATCCTTTGTAAATAAACATATTCCATCAACAGTTATAATTATAACTTTAAAATCAGCATATTTTAAAGTTTTTTAAACTGTTATAATTACATAACAGTCGCTTTATTCAAACTAAATGTGTAGTGCTACTTTTTTCAATCCACTCTTTAAAAGCACCTGAAAGTCCCAGCTGAGTTAGTATGAGACAATGCTGCCAAACATAAAAGTATGACTGTATAATAGTTGCACTGTTAGTCAGTACAATTTCTTCCCTTTTATTTTACACTTTAAATGAAGTTTTTAATTTTATTCCATTGTGTGAGGTTAATCAGTGGGGGTGGGCTGCAGAATGGCAAGTCAAATTGATGGTGCTCAAGTCAGCAGTATCAATATGAACTCATCAATCTGTGAGTTTACTGAACATGCTGTCTTTTGCAAGTGGCATATAAATAAAACAAAGCTAAATTTAATTTTTTTCACAAAGTTAGTCTATGATTTTATAATTTCTCAATTACCATAAATGTAATAGTAACTGAAAATAACTAAGAATTTATAATGTGATTTTTACCTATGTCATTGTGTTAAAAAGTTCTTATTCTGTTGTACCTTAAGTTAGCATTAAAATTTGCAAATATTTATTGGTTTATAAATATTTATTTGAAAGCATTATTTATCATTGTTTATATCTATCATAATTAGTGTGGATCAACGATCAAATTAACAAGATGCTTATAATTATATTTTTTAGCACTTGTCTACGTCTCCAGAAGTAGAACCTCCCAGTTTCGTGCCTCAAGTACGGGCCACCTTAAAGTATATTCAACAGAATCCTTTTCCTGGTATCACTGTTTTTCCTGATAATCGTCCGCATTTTTATCAAAAAGATGAATCTGGAAATTGGATAAGAGTTTGTTATTGAGTAGTAATTTCTTTTGTATTCATACTACTTGATTTTAAATTATAAAAAAGAGCTTGAATACTGTTTTTAATCTTAAAATTATTGCAGCTAGCCAAACATAAAAGGACTAATGTATAATAAACTCAATGTATAGTTAAACACATTTTTGTGACTTATATATGATATGCTAAAACTTTTACCAACTTGCAAATTGAAATGAGTACCATTGTTTATTGATTATATCATTTCACATTAATCAAAGCTATTAATTTTGGCCAGTAAATCAATTTCTTTCTTCAAGGAATTGATATTTTTGAACATTGCTTGATTTACTTTTGTTCACCTCCAAGTTTTGATTATCTATTTTTTTTCCTCTTGGAAATTGAAATGAAAAATATTGAAAAACATTTGATGGTTTATTGTGATTTTTAAGATTTTTTAAAACTAAAATTTTAGTTTTTTAACTAGAAAATTTTAAATAGTTAACAGCTTTGGATATTTATTTCATTCCTTATTTATTTTTTTAAACAATCAATTTTCTCCTTTAGGAAAAAAAAAAAATTTATTTTTTGTTTGTAATATGGTTTAGTGAATGATTGTGGTGTGTAATATCTCCTTCTTAAAAACATTTATTAAACTAAAAAATTTTAATGCACCATTTTTTTACTGTCATCGTAAAATGTTATTTCATAATATTGCGTGAAAATAATTTAAACAACATAGAAAATCATCTTGGTTATTTTGTCTTGTTATGGATCAAATGATGTTATTATAATAACTATTTCAAAGTCTCTAGAATCTTAAGAATAATGTTATGTAAAAAAGAAAGTTAGTTTCCTATAAAAAATTATAACTTTCTAATTCAAGGGTAATTATTTTTTCCTATAATTTACGTATTAGACACAACTGTTTTTAAATACAGTTGAAAAGTGTTAATTGTGTGTATTTTTTTTAACATTTAGATCTCAAAAAAAATTACATGATATAGGTCTTGGAGGAAAAACTTGTTGAGATATGTGTGATTAAATTTTTTTTATGTTAAATTAACTCAGTTTTAAATGTTTGTAATAATTAAATAATTGTGTGTACCATTCTTTTTAAAACCATCATTTTAAATTATTAAAATTCAAAAAAATGTAACTTGAATTGCAATTGCTAATTGAATTAAAGCAAAAAAAAAATTCAAAAGCATATTTTAAGCAATTGAGAATTGTCTTTTGAGTAGTCAATGCTCTTGAATTGTTCCCTCATTTTATGCATCAGTGAAAAAATGGCAGTTATGAATATAATAGTTTTTGCTTTTATCTGGATTAATACATTGATTATAAATTGTCTACCTCTTGTAGATATATTTGTTTTCCACTTACTTTTTCCAAGTTTTTTTTACTATTTCTCTTTGTCTAATATTTTATTTATTTTAAAAAAGAATAAACATTAACTTCAAGAATAATGCTGAGTACTGCAAAATTTTTAATAGTGGGTTGTTGATTGACCAAGCTCGGTATGAAGAAGTTAGACTATTCAGTGTTATAGTTACTTGATTACAAAAGAGAAGAGATCAGAATCACAATCCTGCCTATTTATTTTGTTTTACTGCTTTTACTTTGTAAAAAATATGCGTAAAATATTTTTTATGCATTATTTACCTAATATTGTTTGGAAAAAAGGGGGCATGCGTATTTGTATAAATGCCAAATATATTTTTAAACACATTATTTAAAAAATGAAGAAGTTGAATTTGCTTAAATGTCATTTTAAAATAAATCTTACATTGTGCAAATAAATTGGAAAAAGAAACCATCAGTTGCAATTGTTATGAATGCTATATTTTAATGTTATATGAAATTGAACAACTTCAAGCTGTTAAAGTTTAAAATTTTATGTCGGTCTTGTGTAGGTATATACTAAAATAACTGAAATTTTGTGCTGGGTACTGTGAAGTGCTTTACATTTTGTGTGCCATAAATATAGTGTCATTTCGAGTGATACATTTATGTAATTAATGTCAGACTTTAATGTATTTTGTTAGCTTATTTATGTATATTTAAATTTGTTTTTATTTTACATTCATGTTATACCTGATCTGTTATCATAGCTTCAAAAGTGTTGCATTCTGTATTATCGATTGATCAAAACTTGTTGAAGGTCTTTTATTCTGAGGTGTAAGTTTTAAATAGATATTAGCTGTTTTTATTCACTGTATATTGCCGACAAATTCATAGCTTATATATATATATAGCTGGAGGTGTTATAGTTGATCATGAACGGCGATATTAATTACTCTTTCTATTTGTTTAGTTGTAAAGTCATTATTTTATTGAATATTGGTTTTTAAGGCATATTGTAAAAAATTTTGAATGCATTTACAATAGATGGATTCTTCTTATCCCCTTATCAAAATTTTCCCTGTTTCTGACATTTGTCATATACCATTTATTTTTAATAATCTGTTGTGCTTTTATGAATTTTTTTTGCTTATTGATGTTTTTTTTTTTCCCTTTAATGATTTTTTTAAGAAAAATGGTGTTATTACTATTTAAAAATTTAGATAAATACAATTGAACCTTGATATCTTGAACTCTCCAAGAGAAACTAGAAAGTTCAAATTATCAAAATTAAATATTATCAACAATAAAATAAAGAAAAAACAATTTTTTCAAAACTCTTGTTTAATTTTTTAAGTAAACATCGTTCTGATGTAAAATTTTAGTTGGAAAAAAAAGGACTTAATTGTTTATAAGCCATATTTTATCTATTACTCATAGGTCAACAGTTTTAAATATATCCTCTGACATAGTTTACTTGTTCTGCTGAGCTCTTTTAAGATCTCTTTTTCAAACCTCTTCCCAGTACTTTGATAAATTGTTTTTTAACTTCAATAATAAATATATTCAGTGCCTGGAATTATATATTTTGAAAATGGAGGACAATTTGTCGAACACTGAGTTGATACAAAAGTCATGGAAGTATTTTTTTCCCGTTTGAAATATCCAAAAAATCTGATACCAAAGTTTGACTGTATACAGCAAAATTATAAGACTTCGTAATTTTTTTCATTTCCTTTGAAAATTAAGTATCATATTTTCAAGTGTCTAAGTTGACTTTTTCAACCCCTTAATAAAATTGAGTGATATAATTTACATACCTTGCATTACAGAACATCTGGCCATCTAAAATAATTGTAACTAAATAATATACCTAAAAGATGCTGCTGAAAATTTCCATATTGACGTTGATCCTTCAGTTATTAGTCTTTTTAGTTTGTTTTATGCTGAGTATATGAATCTCGATGTAAGATGCTTTTAATCTTTCCAAATACTTATTTCATCATTCTTTATCTAAGGTGATCTTCATCAGTTCAATTCACAAGATGTGCATAAAATACGTTCCCTTTAGTCTGGTTTAACAAAGCTATATTTTGCTAAACCCATTTGTTTTCATTTCAATTCGCTATATTAAGTTGGATTGATCTCTTACTCATCAATGTCACATTCACGTTTACCAAAAAAATTCTCTCACGTTTAATAAACTTGTGTAATTTCAAAAATTTTTATGAATTTTGAGTGTTTATTTTTTTTTTTAAATATCTGATTTTTGCTACACTGCAAAATAATTTTCTCATAAGGCCTGTACCGTTTGCGGCTGCAGAGTTACAATTCATGATATTTATGTTGAACTATTTAATTAAACTATATTCATATTTCTATATATTGGGTTTTCACAGTGTTAGTTTTGTGCAACCCAGCTAAAGCACCCTTTTCCAATCTTTGTTTTTTTACCTTTATTTCACTACATTTCTGCTTATCCACCAGCAATTCAAAATCTTGTCTAACCCTCCTTAATTATGTGGTCAATCTTTTTTTATTTGTATCCTTTATTTTAGGAGCAAATGCATTGGGGTTTTTTTCTTTGGAAGATATTGTATATTTAACTTTACCTATATCTCACTTGTGGGTTGTGTGTTCTGCTTATACTTTGGGCCATAAGCTCTATCTTCTATTCAGTTATGTACATCTTTATGAATAAAATACCAGGAGATTCCACACCGTTGCAATCATCTGGGTACTTTGATGGGCACCCCATCTGCTGCTAAATTGCAACATATTAAATTGAATCACAAATAAGTTCTTGTACTTCCTGTGTCTCACTATCAGGTTTGAAGAGTGCTAAATAAGTTAAAAATATTTTATTTCATCAAAAATTAATTTTAGTTTCTTTCCATTCAAAAACTTACTTTAAAACTTTTTTAAAAAAGAAAAATAAGGTTCTATATTTTGTGTTGTAACCAATAAATTTGCATTTGACCATTTAAATTCAATTTTTTTTAAAGAGTGTATTCTTTCTCAGATTTAAATATAAAAATTCAACTAAAATTCAGCAGACTTCCAATACAAAAATGTTTTAATGTCTCAACCTTATTTAATCACTGACCCACCTGAGCATCATCCTTTTATACTCTATTGCCAATCGACCCTTGTTTACTATCAAGAATAAGTACATAAAACAACTTATACACCTGGAAAATATGTTACATAAAACATGACTTTATTAATGAGTATTTTTGAGTGGTAAATTTAGCACTTTATTTTTATACTTTTAAAGACAATAATTTAATTTTCTTTCTTCTCCTTTTTATATTCACGCTTTAAAATGTCTCCAAAATTAAATAGTTTGAAGGAGTGGTGTATTTTTATATAGCTGTTAAATAAAGATGCTTCTCTATTTTAAGGTGGGTAAATAAGATGAATTTGTGATACCATTTTGTAAATATCTCTAATCTGTTTCTCTGCATTTTTTTTTTCCTTGTATGTGTTGACTGGCACGGTTGTGTTTGTCATTTTATTAAGCAATTTCAAATGTATACATTTAAGAATGTATTTGTATTTTATGCATTTTTAAATTATTTTCTTTTTTTATTTAATTTAAATGTACTTAATTGGTTTTATAAAAAAAAGTTTACAAGTAATTAATCTTGAAGTTTTAAAATCTTACTGTGTTTATATATTACTTTTTTTTAAACTTAAAACAAAAAAAAATATTTATTTTAGCTTATTAATCTTAATGTAAGTCGAATTATTACTAAATTATATTCTGTATACATAAATCTTTTTACTTGATTCAAATAGTTAACTGCTCATTGTGCAATGATAAAACATTTCTTCTATCTGACTGTGAATCTCTGTACATTTTCATTGATAACTTTTTTCTTTGATCAAGAAATCACTTGTTGATTAGTACACTTTTAAAGTTGATTTTTTTTTTCAAGGACATTTATGTTCTAAAAGTTTTGTAACTATGTTTTTGTTCTTGTATAACCATCATGCCTACAGATTTTATATCTTGGTTATAAAAATAAATATTTTTTGAGTAAACTTTTTCTTGTCATGCTTATTGTCATAAAAAATGATTTAAAACTGAAACTAGTTGTCATTAAAATAACTTCATCTGTCAGTTGGAATGAAACCAAATTTGGTAAAAAAAAAAAGTAAATGAATAAAAAGCTATTACACCGTTGTGTGAACAGAAAATTTGTAATTATGAAAATTATGGCATAAAATTAAAAAAAAAAAACTGAAGGATATAAATGACGAAAATAAAAAAAGCTGCATCAAGCAAGCTTGTTCTGAAGGATAAAATGAACTCAAATCTGCATTATGCTAACCTTGCAGAAATTTGATTCTAACCCCAAAAAGGCGAAGCTAGGGCCGAATTTTTGTCTTCTAAAAAGTAGTAGATTGAAAGGAGTAGGATTTGGAAGTAGATTAAAGAAATTAGCTAACATAACGAAATTTAAAAGATATATTTTAATTACAAAAAAAGTCGTGAAAAGGAATAGAAATGGATATGAAAAATTTTCGGCCGACAGAAAATTTTTTATTGTATAATATAGGGTTTATAGTTTTCCTGATATCTTTGATAAATATTTTCCCGATTTTTGCGTGTGTTCAGAACATCCAGTTCTCTACAAATGTAAATTATATAATCTATTATTAAAATAATAGATTTGAAGAATTACGAGACTTAAATTTTAAATACATCGTTTTATTTTTAGAATGCTAATAAAAATCACGAAATTCGATTGTTCAAGCTTAAATACCGTCCATTAATTATATACATGGTTCAGGTATGTAGCCTAACCCTCAGAATTTATTGTTTCACAATTTTGGGGAATTCAGTCATTTTATGAAGGAAAGAAAGCTATTTTTCAGTAACAAATCTTTTAAGATCGAGTTTCGTAGTTTCGCAATTGATTCCCTCAGACCTTTTACCTCGTTTTAAATATATTAAATTCTAATCAACTATACAGTAGTCATAGCATATATATATTTTTTTTATGGTGACTTGAGGAAAAATTAATATTGTGCTAACCCACATACTTACTGTTTGTTTTTTTTCTGCTCCGACACTTAAAATCCTGATTTAAAATTATTCATTAAAAAAAATCTTGAGCTTTATTACGAATTTTAATTAAATATTAGTGCGAGAGAATATTAACTAATTAATACTAGTTAATATTTTCAGTGCGACAGGGCTTTAAAAAATTTCTGTATGTTGATCTCGAACTATTAAAAGTTGTTCATTGCTCCATTAATAAAATAATGGAAATTTTTAACGCTTTCTGATCTAAAGAAAGTAATTCTAAAATTACAAACAGTATAATTTGAAGTTGAGCAAATCGGGGGTTGGCGAACAGAGGTGAAGTCGTAACGTATTTAAAAAATATAGTTTTCATTAAACGAGGGTTTTGATCACGTTAAGTGTTTGTGATTATTTAATTATAAAGAAGAATTGATCTAATTATGGAACCAGTAAAAATCTGATAAGATTTTAACCAGAATTTCATTTAATAGCTGCTAGTATTATGGAAGACTATAAAATAAATTCTTATAGAATATTATAAAAATAGAGTAACTTTAATAGAAATGGCAAGATTAAAAGTAAAATACAACAATAAATGCAGAAAACAACCGTAGAGAGAAAAAGAATAAAAGAAGCAACTGAAGAGATAGTCTATAAATCCAAAGGCCCCTGAACTCTCAGTAGCGATCCACAAGAAAACATTTGGTTTAAGAGGGTAGCTACTTTTTAACTTCAGGCCCCAAATTCTTTTCAGGGAACCACAGGAAGAGCCTCTTGAGTTTAAAGTTAAAATTGATTTGTGAAACTTTTTAAAAAAGTATTAGATATTTGCAAGCGATATATTTTACAAACTTCATTTCGAATATTTAAAAATATATTATATATTTAGTGCAAAATTCGAAAATTAAAATAAAAATACTTTTTTTATGATATTGTCTTCAATACCCCTCACCTAAATCCCTAATTTTAAATGTTATTTTCTTTTGCTTCAAGCCACAATAAGTGCTTGATTTTTCTAATTAATCTTCTGTCCCAATTCGCAAACAAAATATTGGAAATTTCCTAGCTGTGTTTGGTTGACAAAAAATAAGTTTATAAAGAAAAATTCTAATTTGTCTCTTTCGCTTTTTAAAATTTGCATGTTGGATAATTCTTATTACTTCTTAACATTCACAACTTCATATAGATGATGTTTTTGCGACATAAACATTTCTATTTATTTTAATGTTTATGCAATTAGATTTTTAAAAAAAGTTCAAAAAGCTTTTTCTTTTAGATTTTTTTAAAATTAAGCGTAACTTGATTTGAATTTAATGAGATGGTCACCCTACGTGACACATCCCCAGGATACGGAGACTGCAGGTAGGACTTGAAACTATACAGAAAAGAGACAAATGTTTTGGGAGACAGTCATAGGCAGTGGCTTGCCTAAACTCAGCCATCATTTTAATATTTGTGCCATTCTGAGAATGGATAGTTGACTGAATGTAAGCAATAACAGGCTTGAGATTCTTAAAACTGAAAGAAATTTAGAAAACTTCCGGTGTATCCCACCAAATATGCATACGAGTTGACCTGTCAACAAGCTTAATATTCTAGAAAGTTTTGTTAATGTTATTTTTATTTAAATTTAAGCGTAATTTTAGCATTCATAAGAGTAGTGTCCTGTAATTTATAAATTCTAATTGGTTGTGAGCCTAAGACAGATTGAAGATAATTAAAATCACAGTATAAATAATGTGATGTTTGCCATGCTTTGACTGTTATCCCTTGTTTGAAATCTTTACCATGTGATCAATGACGTCACAAAAATAGTAGGCTTCAAAATATATGTGCTAGTCCTTTGAACATATTATTATTTTTACTTTTTGTAACTGCAACTGACTTCTTCTGAAAAAGAATTATTTTGGTGTTTTGGTCAAGCGTCCAGTGCAGTATTAAAGTACCGAAAAATACTATAAGTACTTATAAAAACTGCTGTGCAGCCCGCGATTATGTTTCCACAGTTGGATTTAGTAACCTGTCCTGAAATCCCTTTAAAGGATAAAGTTACTTACTTTGCCAGTGTAAATCTTTTTCATGGCGCCAACATTGACGTAAGTTTCAAAAGAGTTGCTGGTATTTTATCTGTTCTATTCCACAACCAAAATGTATAAGTGCTGCAGTTTTTCTCACGCTGTTACTATATATATTCAGTATACTGCATTGAAGTGACTCCAGAACCCTCCGGCCTGCTGCTTAATATAGAACAATAAATCTTATTTTTAAAAAAAACGTGTATCTTGTTGTGTTTGTAACTATGTGCGAGTCATTAAATTAAACTTTTTCACCCATCAAATTCTACTTTCAATTTTGCATCAGCATTCGCTTTATTCTGATTCGAATAAAGACCGAAATATACTGTGCAATTACCTGGTTATTAATTAGTTTTAACATTTTGGACGCAAGTTAAAGTAACTAATTATTTTAATTTTTTGTACTAAAAATAGTCTAGGCTGGAATGATTTATGAATAAGTTTTATTTTGGAATTCTGCGGAAATCTGTTTATTTAAACCCAGCTAGCTTGACCAAAATGGGCCTAACAAATTTTCATTCATTCTTTCTTTTTTTTTCTTTTAAAACAATTTAGTTTACGATCAAAATTTTAGTGCAGAAATTTCGAAATCTGTCGCGCTAACTACAATTGCCAAGTTGCCAAATAAATTTTAAACTTGTAAAAAAAATTCTTAAAAAAAATGTAGTATGAGGAGGTAGAGTCTTGGCAGCTTACGGGCAACAGCCTGCGAGAAACATAAGGGACCAATTCATAGCGTATAACTCGTAACTGCCTCTGGCAAGCATATACATATTTTCTTAAATTTTTTTTTGCATATTTAAGAACCACTCTGCGATTGTAGTTGGCGCGATGGATCACTAAACTGAATTATCCTCGATGCGAGCTAAACCTTTAGAGTTGGTCCCTTTTTGTGCTGTTTTTTTTAGTTTCTAGTAAGCGCTACCCGGAAGTTGACAAGAATTCTGTTGACAATTATTCTGTTGCAGATCATGATGTAGAAATCTCCCCGAAATTTCTAACTAACCAAAAATTCCACAACCAGTTAAATAGAAATTAATGTGTTTGTCTTAATGCCTTATTAAATAGTCAGCATATCACTAAATGGAGGATATACTTAATATATTAATTTACTTAATCTGTGTATATTAATATGCTTAATCTGTGGCAGAATTATCATCATGTCTTAAAAATAATCATTACAGAAGGGTACCAGCTCAAAAGGCATAATTAATAGCTACACACTGGGAAGTTGTTGTTTGCATGTTTTTTTTTTTTTTTTATATANATTTTTTTTTTTTTTTTTATACTATGGTCTTATATATTATACTGTAGACAATTTTCGCAAAATCTGATAATAAATTTAGAAATGATTTAAATCATGATACTGAAATATCCCCAAATGAAATTTAAAGTGTCAGTTGCAAGAGGTTTTAAAACAAAATCTTTTTTTTTATTTTAAATATTCTAAACGATAATTTAATTAGTCTCTTTTTGTACCTTTAATCAATCTGCATACTAAGTAGTTTCTCTTGGGGATATTTGTAACATCTGTCTCGCAGGGTGCCAAATAGATTTTAAAGTTTAAAAATTTTTTAAAGAAGACATGCATTCGTTAGCCAGGGGATGACTATGAGTTAAACCTCTTCTGTGATATTTTTTCTTTCCTTTCTCAATTTATTTACTTATAAAGATTTATCTTTCTTTTAAGTACAAAGAATAATAAATAGCATAATGATTGCCTCAGCCATCAGAGGCCTTTGTCTGGATAGTAGGGATTTAACGAATATTCGGCCACTATTCGGTATTCGACCCTTTTGCCGAATAATGAAGTATATGCTATTATTAATTATGCTGCTATTATTAATTATTTAGATTTGTGAAAGCCTTATTGTTGGCATCAAGATATTTAAAATATTACAAAAAATACATCAAGTTGTTAAATTTTTTTTAAAATATAGAAAGTTTAAAAAAGCAAATTTGTTAATATTTATTTCATTTTTAATTTAAAATTTGAAAATTATTTAATTACAAAATTAAAATTTCAAAAGTGAAACTTTTTAAAAAGTTCTTAATTTTCTGAGTTTTAATAATTTTTCTGACAAAAAAGAAAGTTAAGAATACATTTAACAGTAGTAATGAGTTCTTATTTTAAATAAAATAGCATATAAATTACAAGTATAACTATAACTAAAATATGCTATTATTAATTATTTAGATTTATAAAAGCCATATTGCCTTGTTATTGGCATCAAGATATTTAAATTATTACAAAAAATAAATCAAGTTGTTAAAATTTTTTTAAATATACAAAGATTAAAAAAGCAATTTTGTTAATATTTATTTCATTTTTAATTTAAAATTTTAGAATTACTTTAGCTACAATCAAAAGAGAAATTTTTAAAAAGTAAGTATTCGGCCACCGAATATTCGGTATTCGGCCTAAAATTTGGCCGAATATTCGGCCCCATAACTATTCGTTACATCACTACTGGATAGTTTTCAGTTCTTTACTAATATTTGTATTAAAGTTAAATGGCTTATATTTTAAAGAATGAACAATAATTTTTTTAAAAATCAGAACGATACAGCTAAGCAAATAGTTGAAAGAAATCCAATTTTTAAGAAAATAAATCTTTTTTATGCTTTGTTGTAATAAAACTTGAAGAAAAAAACATTAAAAAGCAAACATGCGCTGCTATCAGCTCCCATATTTAAATACTAAAAGTAAAACAGATGATATTTATCAGATTATGCAAACACAATATATATTTTACAATGTCATGTTTAATTACAAATATTAAGTGTTGCAATTGCAAAAAAAAAAAATTTCTCTTTGACATGTCTGCAACTTTTTAACTAAATTTTTTTCACATTTTAAGTAATTTAGGAAATTTGAATGTAACCGACTTTGTACTATGTATCGACTATGTATGTAGTATGTATCGACTATTTGTAGTATGTAAACCGACTACAAATAGTGTGGAATCACCCGGCTTCTAAATCACTATGAAACACGGTGTGCAATATGTAATTATAAATCATGAGAATGTAATTTTAAATTGCTTTTGCATTGATGAAGAAAAGTGGAAAAAAGACATTTTTCTTCTTTTTTTTAGTAATAATAAAGAATAGATAGATTGATTGATTTTTTTCTTAAATTAAATGAATTGTTTTCCAAATCAATTTACCTAGTTTGATTTTCTCTCCAGAAAATATATTCTAATAAAAGTTGTTGATTTGAATTCTGGTTTAGCTAGAGAAAAAATTGTTTTATAGACAGGAAAGAATTGTTCTTTGTATGTATATTTTATTTGATTTTTTTTTTTAGGAAAAGCAACTTAAAGTTGTAAAAGCAAAGATAAATGAATTACTTGATTCCCCACTATCAAGGTGAGTTGCTCTGCATGTATTTAATATTTTGTGTTTTTTTTAGCAAGATTCATTAATTTTAATCAAATGATTTTATAAAGCTAAATTGTTTCCAGAGTTCTTGAATATCTAAAAATTATTGCAATTACCACCCATTATACCTTATGAATAGTTGCTTCATTAGTGCTTTGACTTTAATTGGTTAGGTAATTTAATGCAAAAGTAAAAAAAACTCACATCTTTCCTTTATGTAGCTTATTTATTTACATACATTATTTTAACTAAAGTGATATTTGAACTATTTTGAAAATATTTAAATTTCAGCAAATAGTCGGATCTTTAATCTGATATCTTTAATGAAATAAATTTTAAAAAATATGTAAAATATTTCTTGTTGTCTCCAAGCTATGTGTTTAACAACAGTGTGTTATATAGGTTTTTTTAGCATTAAAACCAACCATTTTAAAGATATTCCTAATGAATCTTGCTAAATCAAAGCTTGTATGAATGTGTTTGACTGTATCGCAATTTATGCTTTTATATAATTTCTGATTCTTGTTAACATATTTTTTCAGATGTGATGGCCTTCTTCTATTTGAAGCTGTTCTTCAGCAGCACACTCCTTTTTACTATGAAAATTGGCAGAGAATTATTATTGCTAATTTAAACGTAAAAACTTTTATAATTAATTCTTTGGAACCAAAATTTTGTTTTGTTTTTAGATGTTAGAATTTAATCCTCTGAATGCTGAAATCTAAAATGCTTTCATAGTGTTTCTTTGCAATTTTTAAATAACCGAAATGCTACAAAATTTACCCAAATAATAAAAACATTTTATTTTATTTAATTCTTTCCTGAAGGTCAATTTAGTATGAGAGTAATACACACATATCAAATTTTCTCTTTCAATTCTTTTCATTGTAATTTTTTATCAATATAATTCCTTCATTCTAATTTTATATTTATTTTACTTATATTATAATTAAGTTAGTTTTCTGCTTCAGATTTCTGAATTTCCTTGTCTTTCTTCTAAGCATTAATAAGAAGAGAAATCAAAATTATTAAAAGAGCAATTAAAAACTACACTTCCAGAGGAAAATCGTGCTATTCACAGTGTTTTCATTGCAGAAAAAAAAATGATTGAGAATTTCTCACCCTTTCTCAAAAACAGGGTGAGATTTCAAAAAGTTAAGTGAGATTTCAAAAAATTAAAGAAAACAAAAACAAAGAGACTTGAAAAAAAATCATTTCTTTAATTATAATACATTTTTAACATCTTCTAATTTTTAAAGCATTGAATATTTTTGTTGCATCATCATATGGAAAATGTTCTACATTTACTACATCATCAGCTATTCTCATTAGGTTGCTCAAATGCTTGTTTGTTTCGTTTTGATTTTTTCTACCCACATTTGTTTCATTTTCATATGTCCGTTTCGGAGTAGAAGATATTGCCTTTACAAGGTATTTATCCATCATACATTAATACGCAAAAAATTTGAACTTCTTACAGGGAGAAACCTTACCTACGGTAAACACATGGTTGCAGAGAAATGCGTTCTGAAAGAGGTTCGGAGGGATGGTGTTCTGTTGTTCTTAAAGGTTCTGAACAATACTGGTAAATAGGGAAGCTAGATAATGGGGCAGATGTTGAAAATAATGAAAGATCCAGGAAGAAAAGTGAAACAGATTTTATTCTAAATGGCGCAATGAGAAATTTTTTCAAAATGCTGGAACTTCGCGAATTTTGAAATTGATTTATAGAATGTGCAAATTTTATTTTTAATACGAGAAGAAAAAAAAACATATGCGAGATTCTTGCGCTGCTGCATTTTTCAAATATGATAGCTGCCAACTTTACTGCATTTTCCAATAGACTACTGGATTTTGCCAGTTTCTCCTGGTCTACTGGTTTAATTAAAATTCTCTTTGTTTTTGTACATTTTAGAAAATTCGCTAAAATTGAGTTAGTTTCCTAAATAAATTAATTACCTATTGAAATAAAATTTTCGTACAGATATAATAAAGCAAAGTTCATTTATAGAAATCAGTTCAATACTTTTTTTGTTCAAAATGTTCAATTTTTTTTTATTCAGAACTCTCTTCTTAAATTAATTTAAAAAGTCTTTTAACTATATTAAATGCTACTATTAATATTCAAAATTATGAGTAAACTGTTATATATAACGTTTCAAGTATATTTAATGTCAATCATAACTGGAAAATATTGCAGTTTTTCTATTTTGATGACTATAAAACTCCCTGTTTAAAATATTAAGTACAATATCAGGGGTCTGTTCGGATCAAATTTACTTTCATTTAGCGATACCTTCACAAATTCAACTTCCGGAAAAACGGTAGACGGTTTCTTAAAATTTTATTTTTTTATCCTATAAGAAACGATAAACCATATTTTTACCCTATTTTTGTGTTGAATTTTTAAAATAATTTTTAATTTTCTCAAATTATGTCTAAATTTTCACAAAATAGGTACCTCACAGAAAAACCTAGACAGACTCCTGATTATCCAACAATTATCATGAAATTTATGTTGCATAAAATCTACTGGATTTTTACCTATCCATGTTGGCAGCTATGGATATATAATATAAATCATAATTATAATGGTGTATAATGCAAGTATTGTGTCTGATTTATTATCTAATAAAATGTTACCAGTATCAAAAAAAAAAAAGAAACTTGCTCCAGGTCGTTGGTGCATTTCAACAGATTTTTGATGAGTCATGTCAAAAACCAGTTTTTAACATCCAAAACCCAACTCCTTTTGCATATACTGGGATGAAAGACTTCCGCAAAAAAAATTGGGAATCCGCTTTTTTCTCCCAATTTTTAAAATTCATGATATCATGTTCCAAAAACTTACATTTTTGGGGAGTCCAATAAGAGAAACTCAAGCAGCCTGAATGATAATCGGACTTGAGACAAACTCCCCCCCCCCCAGCAGTAGCTCCCTGAGAAAATGATCTTCAAAAGAAAATGAGTGGAATTTCGGCAGGTACGCCAATGCCTTGACAACTGCGGCTTCTGCAATAGATTGGAAAGAGAGTTATAAGTAGTTTCGGCAGCTGATATTTAATTTCTTTTGTTCGACTGATTTTCAGAATTTTAAATATTAGGAACTGCTCCAGAATATGCTAAAATTGTGATTCTTCTTCAGGCGATTTTTATGTAAATAATCGATTTTCGTATTTAACTGATTTACATGTTGAGATGCGTTTTTACGAGATTTAAAAACGGTACTCGCAATTTCCATTCACACAATTTAAAAATCCAATATCGCTATTTGTATTTAGCCATTTTTAAAGCCCAATATCGCGATTCTTATTTCCTCGAGTTTAAAATCCAATAACGCGATTTGTATTCACATATTTTTAAAATTCATTATTGCGATTCGTTATCATGCGGTTGTGATATCAAACATAGATTTTCGTATTTACGCGCGATTTAAAAATTACTCGTTGCGATAAGTATTCATGAGATCTAAAAATTATGCATCTTGATTCTTATTTAAGCAATTTAAAAACTCAATATTGCAATTAGTATTTCCATGCTTTTAAAATCCAATATATTGATTCATATTCACTCGATGTTAAATTTCAACATCTCAATTCTTATTCAAACGATTTTAAAATCCAACATCTCGATTCATATTCACTCGATGTTAAAATTCAATATCACGATTCATATTCCCGCGATTTTAAAATCCAATATCGCGATTTATATTCACGCGATTTTTAAAGCAAGTTAGCGGCTATGAGTAATATGAATGTATTTTAACAATGATAGTCAATTTAAAAGTGTGTGCATTCGATGCTACCGAAAAAAAATTCAAGTTTGATTGGTCAAATAGTCAAAGTGACTAAAATTGTTAGTAACTATCTATCAGAAGATATTAAGGTGAAAGTTGGCATTTTAATTTAAAATGATTGACCAGTAATTAATTTAAAATGATGATTAAGCTACAACTTCCTATATTTGCTTAATTTTCTTTAATTTAGTGGTGATCAAAATTTTAAAATTACATTTTTAAAAAAAAATTCAAATTTCACTGCTTAAATGCTTTTGTCACTTTAAATACTAAATAAAAATCTCCCGGTAGAGTTGAAAGTTGCTTTTATAAATATCTCCTTGATATCGCTGTATTATATACAACAAAAAGTAAAGTTGTATAAGTTCTGCTTTGTTTATTTTCGACCACTTTCATGCCTGCATATATTTATGTCAAGTCTACTATAGCAATTTATCTGACATGCATTAAACACAGCTCTGATTAAATTTCTTTTCATCAATTTTTTACTGTTGTAAACTCTATTTAAAAAAAAAATATATATATTTTTTTTTGATGAAATCTTAAATTATCTCATTTGTTTTTCATTTTATCTAGCATGCTAGCAATTTGTGTCAAGAAGTTACTTACAGGATTCTTAAACTAATTATGAAGAAGCCATCAGGCGCTCCTTACATACACAATGTTGAAACTCAAGTAGTACCCATTATTCAACTATTAATATCAAATAATTTGGTAAGTTTTAATTTTTACATACAAAGTAAACTTCCTCATATTGAGAACAAAGTAACAATTTTAACTCATAAGATCAGACAGTTTATTAAATATGAAACAGCAGCGATTATCAAAAATAGAAGCCATTACCATGCATTTATAAGAAAAATGCCATTATCAGACAAATTACTATAGAAATTAGCTATTTCACCATTTTTTGTAATGATTGGTTTGTCACAATTCAATGAAACACAACTGACCTAATAAATTATCATTATATAACAAATAATATTTTTACAACAATACTTTTACCTATTTATTATTACTTACACAATTCCTACAATTTTGTTTCATTACATCTATTCTCTTTTATAATAAAAATTTGTACTCTATCACTGTCACAAAATGGAATTCTTTCATTCCATACCAAGTGACATCAAAACATCTGATAGCAGGGCTTTTGCTTCTGAAAATATGCTGCTTTTGCTTATTTCAGGGGTCAGTGTCTACTGTAATCTAAAATTTCATGGTAGTAAGAGATTCGCATTGAAGTTTGATCCTAATTCCTTAAATATTATTTGATAATGTTCCCTTTGACTTTACAATTCTTAACAAAATGAAAATTTTCAGACTGAATCCATAAAATCAGCGGTTCTCCAAACGTGTTCCATTGAAGGGGAAATTAAATGTGATATTTTTAAACGTTAAATATTTCAAATCCAATCAATAATCAATTGTTTCTATAATATCTTGTGCGCTTTTATGAAATTATTTAAAGTTAAATGACTATGAAAAATAAAAAAATTCTTTTTAAAAAGCACATAATTTTACTGGTATCTTATGAAAAAAACATGCATTTAAAAAAATCATCAGTTTTTTCCATTGTGCTTTTCCAGTCAAAATAAAATAACTAAATTCATCAACAAAAACATGTAATGACGGCAAAAAAAAACTTTCTTTAATAGTCATTTTTAGCATTTAATTTTCACTAAATGAAACATAATTAGTCTTATTTTATTTATATTCAGTTTATGTAAAGGGCTGCAAATTTAATTGTCAGATACAAAACATAATTTAAGCTTGTTATTGATGAAATAATTACTTTGTCTAATTAACCATCCTCACACAGTGGTTGGTGCAAGATGGGAGCTGAATTCGTATTGACCTACCATCACTGGAATTCAAACCTGGATCACCTCATTAGGGCATAACACTTTCCATAGAGCTGTCACAGCTCAAGCAGAAACATCACCAATAAAGGGAATTTGTAAACTTTAGCCTTAGAAAATGGATAAAAATAATGGATAGCTATTTATGTAATAATACATCTAAAGCTATCTTTTTTTTTTTTAAATACTTTACATTATAAATTAATGTTTTATGTTGATCATGACATAACTTGTTCTTTAATGGCAAAATTCAGCCTTTAGAAAACTTTATGTAGCAGGCTCTTTTTTTAAAAGACATTTAAAATCTGAAAAACGCCAAGACAATGTTTAATAAAGGACTTTGATTGTAAAAAAGGAATCTTATATAAAGGCTATATTTGATTGTACACTTGAAAATTAAGACAATAATAAATTTTACCTAGCATGTTCTTCAATTGAACTGTACTAACTTGTAATTTATTACATTTTTTCAAAATAAAGTAGTTTTTTATTGGTTAATACATTCATAGCTGTCTTTATTTACGAAGTTGGAGTTCTGCCGAAGGAAAATTGATCATTTGAGATTCCATAGCCGAAGAAAATTTGGAACCGCTGTATTAAACAAATAAATTACTTATGCAATCTTAAAATAATATACAGAGGAGTCATTCACTAATTTTTTTTTTGCTACTCTTAATATACCTTTCTTTAGCAATTCAGTGTGTAATAATCTTAAAATTTCAATCATTATCACTAGACTACATTAAATAGTAAAAAACTTTAAAAATCTGTTCGTTTTGATTTTTGAAGAGTACCATGAATGACAGTGTATGTATATACGGTACAAAGTTCCTCATCAGTATGTCTGTTTACTAGAGCACTTTTTAACCATCAAATCCATCCTCAATGAGCATGTAGCCCAGACAACTTATGATCAATGGGTATCAACTTGTTAAGAAATAAAGATGGCTGACCTCATTGCCATCATTATGCAAATGTTCTTTGAAAATGTGGAACCTTAATTTCTATATTCTTTCCGACAAATTGCTTTTCTTTACACCATCAAAAACAGGGAATTTTACTGTTTGAGTAGCAACCCTCTTATTTTAATGTTACAAAATTTTTTAAACAATGATGAGCAATTTTTTGATCTGGAAGTCTTAAGGAGAAACACTGTAAATTTAAAATCCAAATCCCTCTTAATATAAATTTAAAAGCTGAAGTTTGAGCAGAACTTGTTGTGTGATTTCTGGAATATAATGATTTAAAAGGTCGTGTTTTTAGAATCTTATCTTATGATTAGAATTTTTTAAAAAAGAACCATTTTAATTCGATTGAAAAGATTTTATCAATGAATGTTTGAGTTTTTGTTTCTCCTAACTTGCTAGAGTTTGCATTATTTAAATACATTATTAAATATCTCTAAGGTAACAATTTAAAAATCATAAGTTGTTTTTTAAAAAGATCTTTAAAAATAGTACCTTTGATTTGAACTGAAAAATGTTAAAATTTTTATCTTCAAGTTTCAATAAAGTTTATAGTAAATATTAAAGCATTTGATATATAGTGTAAGAATAAGAACCTGCACTAAAAACATTTACATTTCATTTGTTTTATAGACTAGTTTGGCAGCTGTTGATTGCTTATGTCAGTGTATGAAATTATATCCTGATGTTATGTCTAGATTCAAGGTAATTTTTATTTTGAATGCAGTCATTTCTTTATCTAATGTACTAATTCTTATTTTTCATCTCATAAAGTAACACTTTTGTATTTTTTTCTGAAAAAAGGAATATCATGAATGACTTTTGATCTAATAATTTTTGCATTCTGATTTAGTGTTGTATTTTATTTCATAGTTTAATATATCTTATGCTTTAATTAATTTTGATATTTAAGGTGACATCCTCAAGCTATTGAGATAGTTTTTTAGTATGTGAAAATCTGATCATTAGATCAAATGTTTTTCAGGTTAATCATTTTTTTTTTCTTTTTCGAATTGTACAATCCTATATTTGAATGTTCCTTAGGAGGGGATTGAAAAAGTAACATGAACAGACCATTTTACTTAGTCTTTACTATTTAATTTTATCTTAATATAATTTAGTATAGCTGTTCCATAACACAGGGTTACCACAGTTGCTAAAATGCAACTATTTTTGTCCTAAGGGAACTATGGCTACTTTTTTTGCCTGAAAAGGCCATAAAAGCAACTATTTTCAGGAAAAGGAGACTATTGGGAAACATTTCTGTGCTCCTAGCAATGTTTTTTTTTTTAGCATGAATTAGGTTGACAACCTGTAGCCCGCTGTAGCTTCTAAACATAAAGAAATTTTTTTTCCTAAAAAATAAAAAAATATTGAATAGCAAATTTGAGTCATGCACTCAATTTGCCCAGATTCCATTGTGAATCTATTTTGTTTCTCAATCGCCTTTTCAACAGTTAATGCTACGGAACTCTGCATGATTTTAAAGAACCCAATTTTTTATATGATACTATGATGCGTGAATTTTGAATTTGAGTAATCACTTTTTCGGTAATATATATTTACTAAGTCAATTATTGATAAAAGGGAAAATTAATAGAAAGAATGTTTTTTTTAACAAAAATTTATTTTTCTGCATTAATTCTAGCATTTAAAAGTATTTAATGTTCTGCAAATACACGAATTTTTTTTATGTAAAACTTTTATACTTGAACACTATCGTTTATTTAAAAATTATCACTTTGGCTGTCAACTTGACTAAATGGATCATGGTATATTACAATGAAGTCATTTAATAAAATTATTGAAAAATTTTTGTTCTTATTTAAGCAACTATTTTCATAATTTAAGGCGACTATTATCATGCTTTAGGCTACTAAAAGCAACTATTTTGTTCATTTTTTTTCTGTGGCAACCCTGATAACACTGTATTCCTGTTCCCTGTTTTTCACATTTCTATATTTAATCTTTTGTGAAATTAATAGGAATTCACGAAAATAATTATTTAACTAAATTTGTCGGTCTCTAGAAGTTCCTAGTATTGCCCTTTATAAAGTTTAAGTAGGAATTGTTTAATAAGCAGTAAGCTTTGTTTTCTGCCTCATTAAGAATGATGGGAAAATATGTATGTTTTGAAAGATTCAACAGTTTCCGTTTTTCCCACAATGGCTGTTGAAACATTTTTAAAAATTGAATAAAATTTGTTCCTACAAAAAAAAAAAAAAAAAAAAAAGGNAAAAAAAAAAAATTGGACCACTATATAACAATGAAAGTGACTTACTATGATGACACAAAGCTGTATTTTTGTGGTGTAGATATTTATTTAAAATATCAGTTGTTTTGATTTCTTAAAATGTCACTAATAATTTCCATTTTACTATACTGAATTATATTAACTTTCTTGCTGTGCACTAATGTTAATCTGTTTGAGATTTTAAAATGTTATATATTTTTAGAACGAACTTGAGTCATTTCTTATTAAGCAAATGGACACAAATTCTGCACAATTTAGTGAGGTAACTACATGTTTGAAAAACTTTATTTTTAATAGCATTAAAACATTTTCTGCAAATATAATTTTTTCATACATGTATAAAAATGTTTCCTTCCACTTTTAGGCTGTTGCTGATTGTATGACTGTTTTACCACAATGCTTGGTTGAATCAAATAATAGTAAAAAAGTTCGCAAATCAGTTGCTAGCATATTTCAAAAAGTGTTATGTACTTTGCAAGATATTCTCGATAGCCTTCTCAATGTTGATGACGATAAGGGTAAGCTGTAAATTTAATATTTTTCACTTAGTTAATAAATGAAACATATGATTTTATTTCTGGTATATTTAAGGAAAAATGATCTTTTTGTGTGTATAAAATGAGCTAGAATCAAAAAATTAAAATAAATTACAAATTTCACTATTCTTGATAGACACTGTTGTATCTTTAAGATTTGTAAACTTATTTACTTAGCGCATAACTAAAACTGAAGTGTTCAAAAGAATTTACCAGGCTATAAATTAGCAAAATGCTTAAAAAAACATTTTATTTATGAAAAGTAAATATTCCACGTTATTTCTGCCTATTCAAAAACGTAATCATTTTAATTTGCAAAACAAACTTAATTTTCTTTGTAGTTCAGAGTTTTTATTTAAGTTGATTTTTAACTTTTTGTCCCGATATTCCTAGTTTTTAGACTCAGACATAGAGAAGGAGTAGCTCCAAAGACCAGGGCACATCAACTAGAGGTCTATTGTACAAAAACCCTAAATCGTGACTAACAGAAAGTTTTTTAGTTGAAACAGAGTTCAGCAAACACCTGAAAGGCATATATTGTAATTCCCGGGTCTTAATGCAATGTTGCCCTAAATGCTCAAATCGTTGACCTCACAATCACAAACTATATGTCGTTATGTCTCCTTCTCAAGATAACAACCTCGACAAAGAGAATCAGTTTCAATATCTATTATGTATAGGTGTCTCATGAGAGTGCAGTATCCAGTGAAAAGACCAATGATCTTTCTCAAACTCTTCCTGATTTGCTGAAGAAGTTCTTTTTGATGCACACTGGAACAGTCCTGATTTAGCTTGTCTCTGACCATTTGAGTTGTGCTATTACTCATTATGCCCTAGAGCTTGAATATAGATGCCTTGAATTATGTGGGAGAGACTCCCAAAGCTGATTCAGGACCCCCAAAAAATCGCACTGCAGNAAATTTTCCACCAAAACATTTGAAAAATAAATAAAAAATCTTGCCAAATTGCCGAAATAAATTATTTTTCTCAAGATGATATGTTAAAAAAATAACATTTTGAATAAAATATTTTATAATATAGGCACTTTTCTTGTACACATCCTACACTTTATAAGGAAAAAGAAACAAAAACCTGGAAATTTTACGATTTTTATCTGGAAAACCTGGAAAAATCAGGGAAATTTGAAATCTGATTTGAGTGGCCACCCTGGTCCTGATTTAGCTTGTCTCTGACCATTTGAGTTGTGCTATTACTCATTATGCCCTAGAGCTTGAATATAGATGCATTGAATTATGTGGGAGAGACTCCCAAAGCTGATTCAGGACCCCCAAAAAATTGCACTGCAGCCAGCTCATTTCCAAGAATACCCATATGTCCAGGCACCCAATATAGGTTGTGATGCCACAATTGGCATTACATATTTAATTCCTATCCTTTTAAATATCTCTTATTACTTAAGCTGATTTTTATTAATAGAATTACTTTTAAAATGAATCAAAGACTTAATCTTTTGAAACGAATATAAAATATTTTTTCTTCTCTTATAGATCAATGTAACGGATACTTTTTATTTCATTACTAATGCAGACTTTTTAATTCACTGTCGCCTCTAATCGAAAACAAAAATCTATTTATAGCTTTTTATTCTAATTTTCTAACCGAAAATATGTTTCAGTTGCATGTTTGTAATAATTCTCATAAATTTGTTGGCGACTCGTGATCACCAAGGTATTCTTTTAAACCCAATATTAATATGCTGGTTGACTTTGTTTTGGCTGTGTTATATTTTGAAAATTCGCCAATTTTGGATCTCCTAACCAATGCTTCTGTGTCCGTTGGGAACAAATTACATGTACTTTTTAATTTGGCTTTTGATTAGGAAGGTCGTGGGGGGATTTGTTTCCCATGGCCTGTCCTTATTAATATTACTATGCAAAAATTTATTTTACTAAGTCTTATGCATAATATTTATATTTTGTATCTCGAACTCTGCAAATATATTAAATAAAAGCTTTTTATTAAATTCTGATCCGGTTCAAGTATTATTTTCATCACTTCTGTTTTCATCACAATCTTCAATTGGTCAATATCTCCAACTACTCCTAACCACCTGAATATCCATCACCACTTAAATTGACACACTGAATATCTTCCACCATATACCTTGTTACAAGTGGAACGGTCACAGAGGACCGAATTCTAATTTCCTCATTCTTAATGAATGGTGCGGAATAATTGAAGGGGAAATAAGTTTTTGTTACAAACTCTGAATACAATTGTAGAATAGAGCTTGTGGATGACTTATCACTAAAAGAAGAAAAAAGGACTTTTTTTAATAAAAAGTGGAAAAAAAAATATTATAATTAAAAGATATAAAAGATGTAAGTATTGCATTAATTATATAAAGTTTTGAGACTAAAGATTCAGCTTATTAGAAAATTTGTACTCTGACCGTAAATTTTCTCATTTTTGTAGACTCACCCGTTTGTGATTTAAATAATTACAATTTTGTGCTTATGGTTTGTTTATCTATATTTTTTAAGATAATTTCATGGATGAAGACTCTTGTGAGAAACCTGAAATATTTAAACTTCCTGAAATGCCTGACACAGAGTTTAGTGTAGTTATGATGTTGGCTAGAATTTTTTCTTCTTTGTCAATCTGTGCTGCTAAATTTTTATGGTAAGATATTTCTTTAACAGATTTACATATTTATCTCTGCACATGCTATCAATGCTTTAGAACTTTGCCACCTGCATGAATTACTTAGTTATTTATGTGCTGTCATCATTTCTTACTTAATATTTTTATCATGGAAACTTAGACAATCTGAAAAGCTTTGATTTATTCAAAGAAAAATTTTATTAATAACATTTTTGAAAAGGGGGAAATGAGATTTCTAGGGATAAGATTATATTAAACTAAACACCATTAGTTACTTTTGCATTATCTTAAAATTTTGCAAATCCTAGTGGGTGTGAAGGTGATGAATGATAGTCTTTTAGTGTTTTTAAAGTTGGTTCTTAAAGCTCCCATGGGTTCAGGAAAACATGTTATTGTTAGTGAATTTCATTTTGATGAATAAAGTCGTGGAATATTGCAGTTTTTTTTGGACGAAACCTGAAAAATCTTCCAATAAATCTGAAAAATAACCAATTTCAAGATTCACATTCAGTAGCCAATGAGGTGGTTCAAGAAAATAAATTCTGTATCTGTTTTTATTATATTCAGGTCAAACAAGCACGTGGTTAAATGTTTTTTAGATTTATTAAAATTAATAGTAATTTCAGAAAAAGACTTTGTTCAACAATGTCGATTCAATTTTTTTTTTTTCAATACATGTTTGCTGTTCAATAATATGCTTTTTAAAATTAAGCTATTTATAAAAAATTTTTGGTTTTTTATTACAAGTAGGATATGATTTCTGGCTATATGAATGAAATTATTTTAATAATAAATTATTTTAATTGGTTTTAATTGTTGTCTTTCTCTCTTTTTTTAACAATGCTTTTATCAATAAATTGTATACTTGTTCATTATAAAATTTATAAAGCCTTTGCTTTGTGGAAATTTGTTATTACGAAATATAATATTTTTAAAAAAAAAAATAATTATCAAGAAGTGAAACTCATTGCTTATTTAATCAAAATATTTACATATATTTCTGATGAATTATTGCTGTTGAAATTTTCTGGAAAACTTGGAAACGTCAGTGAAATTGATTTTTAAAATTAAGTAGAAACCCTGACATCAATTGAATATAAATTATAATTTTGTCAATCAAAAACTTGCAGACGGAGTAATTAAAATAGAGCATAAACTTTTTCACACATTTCAGAAGTGGAATTCTAAAAATGTTTTTAGTTCCAGTTTTTCATTTACTATCAGAAAGCAAATATATGTTTTGTAAATAAAAGCAAATACCAATTGCAAAAATCATTGGAAAAAAAAAAAGTCTCCCATCATAAAATGAGTTAATGACTTTAAAATAAATTTTCTTTTTATTCTTTAAATTGTTTACACATTTGTTGTTCTTTATTGAAAAACAACTTTATTGTTTAATTACTTCAGTTTAAGCATCTTTCTTTCATTAGGCATTTTGTTAAAACTACTTTTTATTTTAATACATTTACATTCCTTGAAAACTCTACGAGGATGCAGACTTTTTGGGAGATAGGAAAAGGATGCGTGTGAGGGGGGACTGCATACAAGGAGAAGAAGGGTCCTTGCTGTTCTCTCTTTATAATATTCTTCCTTTCTCCTGGAATAAGACCCCATGTGGAGAGTTGAGCATTCTGAAATAAATAATTGAGTATGGAAGAGTTCATATAATTATGTCAGTAAATTTAGTCTCTTCAGTCAGGTTAAACTTCTGTGTTTGTCTTATAATGAAATTGAGCCCCTCTCCTTAAAATCTTGTCTGAGTCCCTCAGAGGGACTCCCAAGAGTTCATTTTCACTTCGATTTTACTACCCCATTAACCAAGAAAAACTTGATCCCACCTCATCTCAGACAGTTGGCCTTAGAAATCATACGGGCGGCAGTAAACTAGACAACCACGCTGGCAGCAGTATCTACATTGAGAAACCAGGGGATGGACTGTCTATCTGCCTCAGGAACCCTAATTTCTCAACGGTCTTCAAGAGTGAGTTAATAGCAATTGAACAAGGCCTTGAAACTGTTCTTAATGAAAATGACTTCGGGGACCTCTGGTTCCTTTTTGACAGTCGCAGCTCTCTTTAACACCTCCACAACTGGATTGTGATTGGAGATCAAACTGGTATTTCTATCCTTCTCAAGCTCGTTTCAAAATTCCACGATGTTTATTTTCAGTGGATTCCATCTCATGTTGACATATACGGCAATGAGCAGGCTAATGGACTGGCTAAGGAGGACTGTTACCATGCTAATCCTTCCTCTTCAACACTTCCCTTTTTAGAACATCAATCCATAGTTAATTCTGAAATTTTAAAGGGGGTGAAAGATTTCTCCCAGCCAACACTGGTATGCGGACGAAGAGCCAGGTTCTTCATTCGCCGTCAATTGTGACAGAGCTTCTAAAACCGCAATTTCTAGATTAGCAAGTGGTCACACAAAAAGTCTCTTGTTTTTCAAAGGCAGGAGAATTTTCGAGGTATGCTCCAAATGTCAAACTGAGCAGGCTTCTCCCGAACACATCCTGGACTATATGGGACTTTCCAGAGGCGACATGCCCCTTCTGGTCATCGATTTCCTTAGGATCAAAAGTAAATGACTGTTACTTGAGGGTACATCTATACATTACGATAAATGACCATTTTTAAAGTCCATAACTTTTACTTTGATATAAGTGTGCGAACCCTGTTACTTATTTCTTTATAACCTTATATAGTAGTTTTAATACTGGAATACAAATTTTTACATTATAAGGGGAGGGGAAATGGTAGGAAAAAAACCAGTATAACAGGCATGTAATCCAATTGGAACAAACAAAATATATACTAAAATAGTATAATGACACAACTAAATTAACGTATTTACAAATATAGATGAGTTATCACACATTTGTTAAATTGATTGTATGGAGAATCTTTGAATGTTCCAATTGAAAATTTTGTTGTCAGAGAAATTGGCCATAGCATGACTATTCATTTTATGTTTGTAATTAATATATTTACCCATTTGTGCAGGTTTATTTTAATAAATTTTTTTCTTTTTTTAGTCAAGAAAACACTATGTTTGAAGTTCCTGTATTATGGATTTTAAAACTTATTGATAGAGTGTTTACTTTGACAGACTCTGCTCAGGTAAAAGAATTTTAAAAAAATTTATCAAAAATATTTATTTTACATAATACTGTTTATAATTCAGTTCATTTAAATCTTAATATTTCATTTTTTGTCTTTAAAAGCAATTGCTAAAAAGTGTATTAGGATATTTCTTTGTTTTATTATATTCAGAAAGGCTTCTTTTCTCTCTAAGAAGATTTCTACTAGTACAAATTCAATATTCTCATAACCGTGAAATGCTTCTGGTTATCATTGAAATAATTAAAAGATAACCAGATAAGATTTGATTGGTTATTTAAACCTCCTAATAAGCAAAAATAATGCTTAATCATATTTTCAGGGAATTTTTACGAAAAAAAAAGAAAGAAAGAACTTTTATGTCTTAATAAAACATTGCTTATAATTTCTCCATTCTTGTAATTAAAACGCCTTATTCCTTTATGACAGTGTTCCCTGGTCCGTGGATCTAATGGTACCAGGCCGCAAATTTCATTGACACTAAATTTAAATTCCTAGGTTTATACCCTAAATTAAAAATAACTGTGTTCCATTGAAATTTTATTTATTTAAAAAAAGGGGGGTGCCCGAAAGAAGTGACATAAATTTATTAATGTTAGTAATGTATCATAGTCTCTGATTACCCCCAGGTGGAACCGTCTCATTGCAAAGAAACAAGCTCAGGGTTCTCATTGATTTAATGTTCTAGTAAGTTAAAATGTTAAATCTCTTTATATTTACTTTTTGGTGTAACTATATTTTATTTTGAAGGCATGTTTAAATGCAATTAAATTTAAATTAATAAATCAATATAATCTAAATAAAAGCAATCAACACCTCTCCCCCCCCACACACACACACACAGCAGGCCGCGGTTAAAAAAATATCATAGATTGACAGGTTCGCGGTGATAAAAAGGTTGGGAAGCACTGCTTTGTGGTATTGGCACAATAAATCATTGTGCAAAGGGAAAAAAGGAGATGACTTCGCAATCAATAATTTTTGTTTAGATTTGTATTTGTGAAATACCTCTTGTGCTTAAGAAAGTGAATTCTCACCATAGAAATATGTTGCCTCTCAATATTAAAGCAATTTTAATTAACTACCTTGAAAGGTTAGCAGCAAGCCAACTTTTGTAAGTTTGAAGTTATTGCTTTTCTATAGCACTACAAAACAATTTGAATTAAATTGATATTGAAATTGCATAAGATGTATTTTAAACGAAGAAAACGCAACTGGGCTGATAATTCTAATATTTCAGGTAAAATTAACTTCTCTTTTATCAGGTAACATAAGGACAGGTCTTGTTACTATCACTAATTTATTTGTAATGTAACATATGCTGACAGAGGTAATGAAGAGGCTAATGTTTGCAAATCAATTCTCTCACAATATGATTCCAAATTTCAATATGTTATTTTTTAGATGTGTGATTCAATTGAACGCAGAGAATTAATCATACTGGCATATCCCATTGTCCAAAAAGGAGCATTCACAATCTTAGAATCTTTAGTACAGAAGTAAGCAAGTATATACTGTTCATTTTATAAAGTAGCTTTGAAATTTCTATTATTTGTTTAAACACTTTTTTCCGTCACAAATTTATTAAATTTTAGTTTAAGCATGAATGTAAGAATAAGTGTAACACCTTAAGAGGGATTTTTTTTTCTTCATATTCATTAAATTGTTTATCTATTTTTGAATATTTTCAGGGCTAACCGTTATTCATGATCGTTGATTTAAATAACTATTTCTATTTTAAATACATATTTTTCTACTGATTAGAGTGAATTATATATATCTCCTTTATAAAAGGGGAAATTTTAAACTACTGAAATGTAAAAAAGTTGTACAAAATTTATTAAAAGGAGAAAATGAATGAATTGCAATATCTTAACATCATTGGAAACAGGGAATTAAGTGTGCATGAGAGATAACTTGTTTTGAAATGCACAGCAGTTTCCTCCCTAAAAGAAGATAACTTAACTGGTAGTTGCTCACATATTGCTTCATAAAAATATTTAGAAAAGAAACAATATTTTTCTTTCCCACTCTTTTTTATTGATTCTAGAAATAAAGAAATCTTCTAATTAAACCTTTTTAAATATGCACTTTTAAAGATCAGAAAAATGTACTAATAAATAAATAACGAAATGTTATGTACGAAAAATAATCTGTCATAATGAGAGGAAGGCTAGTAATTTTTTATTAAAGCTAGTAACATACAATTTTTTTTCCTCTTTAATATTGGGAATTTGATGACTGGAAAATTTGTTTAAAAAATATTAGGCTCGTAATGTGCTTTTTTTTTTTTTTTTTTTTTTTTTTTTTTTTTTTTTTTTTTTTTTTTTTTTTTTTTTNTTTTTTTTTTTTTTTTTTTTTTTTTTACTCCCTCCATCAGCCCTACCTCTGCACAAAAAATGTACTGCTTTTTTAATATTTATTTTTATAATTCATTTATTTTTTTAATATCTTATCATTGTTATAAAGAAAGCCTTCTTATGTTAATACAATGTAGCTTATTTTAATTATAAGATTTTTGTTCATTTGTGATTCTATAAAAATAATAATAATTTTCAAATACTTTTTTAATTGTATATAACAAAGATGTTGAACCTCTCTCAGTATTTTTTTCTACTTTGTTTTATTAATTGATCCTCCTTAACTAAAAGTTTTTAAAGTGCATTGAAAACATGTTAACCTTAAGCTTTAAAATGTTTTTTTAATTTGTTTTTTGTGTTCTTTAAAATCATACATTTTTTTTCATTGCAGCTTTGGATTGGTTCAACATACTGGAAGTTTTATTTCTCTTCTAAAGAGTTCTATTAAAGCCTCATATATAGCTACTTTTACTGGTGGAACTAATTGGTACTATAATTATTTTCCTTTTAACTATCATATTTTTTATCATTGTCATTATTATAATGAAAGCAAAACATAAACTTTTGGTGATTAAAAGTTTTGCATTGAATACATGGTTAGCAAAAAGAAAAGAAAAAAAATCTGATCTCATTTACAAGTTTTAACCTACGAGAATTTTCATTCAATAAAGTTTTATGGCAATATCTTGAAGGGATGTTTTAAAATATGTATTAACAGATTACTGTAATAGTGACTGGGTGTATTAACCCCAAAACATACTTTTTCAAAAGAAACATTATTTTTTTTTTAAAAAAAAATTTCAATTTGTATGCAGAAAAAAGTGACTGAATTTCAAAATATTATACTAATTAGGGAGTCTGCAGGAACTATTAAGCATTTTTCATGAGAACTTTAATGACGCTAATATTTAGAATTGGTAGACACAATTTTACCTAAGGCAGTATAAGGAAATTGTGCCAGGTTGGGCTGCTTTTAAGTTATTCATTGTGCAAACTTAAAATTTGTAGTTATTTTTTTAGACATTTAAAAAAATAGCTTGTAAAACTTTGATAAAAGTATGCTTTTGAAAACAAATGAAATTTAGCATGTTTTCTCCCGGGTTAGATACGATTTATCTCTATTATTTATAATGATAAAAACTATACTAGAATTTCATAATTAACTTTTATCTGGTCAAAGCAATGATTAAGGTCCGTGATCCCCAACCCTATGCCCGCGGGCACCATGGCGCCCATCGATCGGTCTAGGTGCGCCCGCTGCTTTGTGCCCAACGATAAAATACAATATTTCAGTTTTTAATTTTCCCGTAAAATGATATGCAAAAATTAATGCGGTAAATTACTACAATTGTTACACGTAACGAAAATTATTTCCGAAATAGTTAACTTAATTCTAGCAGCTCCTTTGCAACTTCGACTTTTCAAGGCCCTGTTACAAAATCCTGATGATGCTGACTTCATTTTGCAAACTGAAGCACGCTGGCTCAGTAAAGGCAAAGTACTTGAGAGATTTATACATATAATCGAAGAAATAAAAAATTATCTTGCAGCCAAAAATCAAATATTTTTAGAACTAACAGATCCTCTTTGACTAGGAGATTTGTCTTTCGTAACAGACATAATTGAAAAACTAAATAATTTAAACTTGGAACTGCAGGGAAAAGACAAACTTATAGCAAAAATGAGAAGGGCAAAACAATCGTTCAGATCAAAGTTAGTTTTCTGGATATCACATTTGAAAATAAAGTCTCTTTTGCATTTTCCAAACTTGGAAAAAAGGATAGGTGACAGTGAAATTGTCTTACATTTGTCATCAACCTCCAATTGCTTCAAGATCAATTTGAAAATCGCTTTTAACAATTTAATTATCGAGCCTATGGCCACTTTTTCTGTAAATCCTTTTACTATCAAATAAACGTAAACGAAATAGCAACATGCATTTCAGTATGTCTTCAAGTTAGGCGAGAAGAAGTGGAGATAGAAATTTTGGATCTTCAGAATGACATTATCCTCAAAACGATTATATTAGATGAGAAATTCTGGAATACAGTTGACATAAATAATTTTCCATTCTTAAAAAGAGCAACATATAAAATAAAGTAGTTTTGTGGTTTCACATACTTGTGGGAATCATTGTTTTCGACAATGAATTCAAAATATAGATCCCGATTTACAGATGAACACCTTGACGATTGCTTGCAAGTAGGAATTTCATCATGTTCTCCCAATTATGAAGCGATGGCCAGTGAAATGCAATGACAAAGATCACATTGACTGTATTTTATAAATAATTTTTATACTTCGTATGTTTTGCAAGCGATTCAGTAATCATTTATTTTACACAAGAATATTAATACTAATTATATTCATATGTTAAATTAATTTCTAAAATTAAATTTTGTGTGCGCTATATGTAGTGTGTGTATTATTACCCATGTCTACCAACTATAACATTGTCTTACAAAAATAAATGGCGCCCGCCGTTTAACCGATATTCTGGTATTTGCTCTTAGGTACAAAAAGGTTGGGGACCCCTGATTAAGGTGATAGAATAGAAATACTTAGTTTCTAATAAATTTTTAAAAACGAAATTATAATAAACATAATGAATGTTTCCTTAATATACATGTAAATACAGTCCTTTCATAATCAAACTTTGTATCTTGTATAATTGCAATGTGAACTTGATCTTTAATAAGCTATTATGTAAAGAAAAAAAATAATTCCCCTTTCTATTTAATTATTACAGTCTAGTCATCTTTTTAAGCTAAAGGTTTTTTTGTTAAATGTAAATAGTGACATTAATACGATTTCATTCACGTTTATTTTGGGAAAGCAAATCGTGTTAACTTAATGTAAACTTAAAACCACTTTTTAAATGGGAGCATTCTGTATTATTAATGAGTGAAATTCATACATAATTTCTTTTAAATAACATAATTTGAATATCTAATTGAGTGGTGTAATCAATTTATATTGTAAATTTTATATAAAACTATATGAAAATATATCTAATACAAAAGTCTCCTCTATTTATGTTTCTCATTTATCTGTAAAATCAATCATTTTATCTATCCTTAAAATTTATAAATTTTGTTCAGAAAAGGTTTAAATTAATGTCCTCACAAACAAATAAAGTATTATACTTATTTTTTTTTCTTCCCTGATAGATTTTTCCTATAGTGTTTGCACAACTAAATGTCTTCAATGAAGCTGAAATTCATTTGTTTTGGCCACTATTTATAAACATCCTTGATATAATCAACTTATTTATTTTATTAATTTATAGATGCTAGAGGTCAAAATCCTTCCAAATCACTTTTATTGAGCACAAACATTTGAACAAAACACAACCTGAGATATTCTTTTTAATATTTTATGTTTTTAATATGTTTTTATTTTTAAAAATTCTCTGAAATTAGGGCATTTCTTAATTTCCTAAATAAACTAATAAAAAAAAAAGATAAGTCAATTTTGGCAATATAATTACAAAAAGGAGTAATATTTTTATATCATTCATGCTTTTATATTTCTTTTTTGGTTTGGAAAATTTTGCTTACTACTAAATAATGTAAATCAATATATAAAATGTCGCTCAGTTCCAGTTTTCTCTCCTTGAGGTTTGAAAAAAGTTTTCTGTATTAAACAGAAATCTGCAAATTTTAGTTTTAAATAGTCTACTACTTTATAAAATATTTTTCGAAATCAAGAAAGCTTAGTTTGCTTCCTTGTATATAAAATTTACATTCACTTAGACCTTAAAACTCCTTCAGGTTGTTCTGATTTCAAATGTGTTATTAAGCTGTTTAATTTCTCAACTAAAGCAAATTCATATTTTTAGCCAAATGCGTAACACAACCTGGAGAATTTTGAATATTTGGTTAAAAAGGAATGGAACTCAGATTTCTGTTGAGGCTGGAAACAATAAAGATCTGTTGCGAGAACTTTTAATGGATATCACTCCAGAAAATATTGATGAGACTCCATCAGTGGTTAGTAGTATATTATAAACACTTTGTCTTAGTTATAAATGTTTGATATTTTGTAGTAAAGAATATTATTAATTTATCATATCTCTATGTGATACAGATATGATATAAATTGCTGCTTTGTATTGATTAAAAGGGCAATTAGAACCACTCATAGATTAAATAATAGCTTTAATTCATTTCATAATGTGCCTTATTGCTTAACAAATTTTAGTTTTTGATAATGAAAGTCTAAGTCTACTTCTTAAGAAATAATATAATATTTTCCTCACTTTAATGTTGATGCAAATCATTGTTATCTTATTTTAAACTTAGTGTTTCCCCAACTTAATCCTATTGAAGAGAGAATTTGAAGACCAGTGTGTAAATAAATTGTGGTATATGTTGCTTGCCACAGTTATTATTTTTAACATATTTGAGAAAGTGATTAAGTGTAATAACTCCCTAATATGGAGAAATAGTTGAATGCAAAAAAAATTTTTTTCATCAGAAATTTCTGAAAATAAACAATAATCATAAGTGCTAAAATGTGTCTTCTCTATCAGGGATTTTTAAATAAAATGCTCTTTAATGCATTTCAAAAACATTACAAAAATGATTTTTTATCATAAAAAAAAATTAAACAAATACTCTGTACTTAAAATTTATATTGTTGGTAAAATTGTTATTTTAATATGTTTTATGCTGAATTTCAATTTTGAAATTCTCATTTGTTTTGCATAGACTAATAAAAGACATCAAACATCAGCTAAGAAAAAAAATCAACCTCCAGCCTTTCCGGAACCAGATCAAAATTGTGGCTTCAAAAGGAATCAAATCAGTACTTGTAATGAAGCTCTGAAAGGTAATAATTTTAATTCTATGGTATTTTTGCGTATTGTTGTTTCAAACTTGTAAGGCACTTAAAAAATTGAATATTTGAGTATTGCTGAATTTTTATACCTGTCAGAGCATCTCCTTCTAAAATCGTTAATTTTACTTGAGTGTGAGCCAACTTAGAGCCCAATCCCCGATATTGACTATTTTCTTGATGAACTGAAGGATTCACTTCCTAAAAATAGACAATGCTCAAAACTGTGACCTATCACAGAAGCAATCAGAACATTTTACGTTCAATTTACGATTAAATTTATTTGACCTGTAAACATCAATAATTGTTTCGTTATGTAAATATTTATGCATGATTTGATATTGAACTAATTAAAAGACATTTCTTTTTGCAATTTTAGTTTGCAAAATAATCCTGATCTGTTTTTTAAAACATTTTTTTAAAGGGAGCATTCATTAGTTTATATTTGTAATGTGATTTTATTTGTTTTATTTTCTGCATTATTTACAGCAAATCTTTTTTAATTCAGTTGAATTAATACTAATATTTTTATAAATTTATCATGATGTATATAAATAGTTTTCATTAAAATGTAATAATGTACACTGGCGGTTTAGCAAATGGGCAAAATTGGGAGAATGTTTTTCCCCAATACAATTAAATTACGACTTTTTACATGCAGAACTGTCAGAACATTCTACTAATAAAAATTAGCTTTTTGTGCTTTGAGAAAGTAGCCTGCAATAAATTTTTCCCTGGGACCTGTAAAACCTTTGTTCAGCCTTGGTTGTAGTTATTTTCTTCTGCTACACTGCAACTTTTGTAGGTCCTTGCAATAGACACACTACAAGAGGGGGACTATTCCAAGAGCAAAGGTTTTCGAAACAAAACAGACTGGTGCTACTTTTGTACTAAAACCTAATTGTTTGTTAGTGTATGAATCTTTAGTAAATGTATAATAAGCTGAACTGAATTTAATTTATATAACTGTAATGGCCATTAATTAAGGTTAATTTAAAAACAGGAAAACATTAGATAGTTGATGTAGTAAAATTAAACTTATCTGCATAGGTGCTACAAATTAACAACATGCCAATATGGTAAGTCTTCTTGAGTGTAATTTTCCACTAAAAGACAACTAATTTTCAAGCAATCGAGGTAGTATCTGATCGTACCCCTCTCTCTTCCCTAGTTGATGTAAATTGTAATTAGTAAATTAATAGTCTTTTATTACAAACTCTTTTAGATTTCTGTCTTTCTTGATGCAATATTTTAAGTTCTTGTCCGTTATATACTTATCTTTTTCAGTGTTACATGAATTCGTCAGTTCAGCAAGTTCTTTTCTGGAAGAAAAATTTAAAGCAGTAAGTTGTTCTTCTGTAACTTTAGTTACATTTTATACATAAATTAGTGGCTATAAATTTTTTAAAAATTTCTTTCAGGATATAGCTAACCAGATCTTTGCTGTATGTCATAAAATACAAATGTCTGGTCATCCAAAAAGAAGGCTTCCTTTTCCATACATGAACGATAAGTGTCGTAAAAATTTGTATAAGATTGTTGTATCGTTAGGCTCTTCATCCGATTTTAATATCAAAGTACTACAGCAAGCATTTGCTATTTTGAAAATAGCTGAAAAAGACAAATGTTGCAAAGTAAGTAATTTTATTTTATTTATTAATTTTTATTTTTTTAATTTTTAACAATAACATTGAGAATTATAATTGATAGCATTAAAATGTAGTTTCAAAATTTGTCTTGTTATATATTTTTATGGTGGTTTTTACCAAGAAAATTAATTTGACAAATTTCAGTTTAAACCAGGGGTGGGGTTTTGGACGTCCTAAACTGGTTTTGGACTGTCTTAAAGTGTCCAGAACCTTGAACTTTGGTAAAAGGTAAAAATTCTATAGGTGTAACCATTGTACACATAATAATTACATGTTACATGTATCAATAAATATTTGATATTTTTTATACAATTTACTTTAACTTATTAAAAGAAAATAATATAATATAATAGGAAAAGGTTTATAATTTTTGAAGCTCCACAATTCATTGAACAAAAGTGAATACCTAATGCTTTCAATTTAAATATGCTTTTAATACTGATAAATAATGTTTTTGCACAAGGATAAACAATGCAATATTAAAAAATAATATTTTTTTAAAAAAAAATACTGAATTTGTTTAAAAATTAACCTTTTATTTTTAACAATATTTTTCTAAAAAATTTTTTATAATTTCTACATTATAGGATGGTAAAAAAGACATCTATTCAAAAAAAAATTTTTAAATATAAGTATATTAGTTTGAATTGGAAATAACAAAATAACTGAAAAATGTATTGACAGTTTTGAAGGGCATAACATCAGTTTCAGTTACTGACACTGGTGATGTCTCACCACTAAGCTAAAAGAATTTAACATGAATGAAAAAAAAGTATTCTTGAATAGTACTATAGACAAATAAACCTGTTTATGACAAACCAAGCACTTAGTCCCTAATATTTTAACCTGTATGGCTAGGCCAAACTTCAGTTATGTACTATTGAATGAGAGGACCAATTGAACTTGATTACTGATTAATCTTCCTTTGTTTAAATTGAAGAGTCAAACAATATTAATAAAACATTATACTTTTAAA